TGGAGTGCATAAGAACATTTAACGATTTTCGTTTGGATATTTTTTTCATATTACCGTTTACGTAAAAACAACAGTAGAACGGTAAAAACGTGGTTCAAAATTAGTGCAAGAATCAAAGAACACAATTAAATAGAATTCATATTTTAAAGATCAAGAGAATAGTTCATTTCTATCTAAGACCAAAAAAACTAAGACTCTAGACAACTAAACTAAAATCGAAATTAGACGAGACTAAAACAAAAAGAAAATTTAACTAAAAATCAAACCGAAAATAAAATACCAACTAAAAATCGAGAGACTTTTGACTAATTTTTGGTACGGACAATAAATTGAACAGAAAATGTATTTTTAAACTCAGAAAACTAAACATGAAAAGCTCAACACAAAATCATGCACGATTAATAATTTTTGCTAGCCACAATTTCGATTTTTTAAATATTTTTTTTTTATAATTTGTGTATTATTGTTATTTTGTGTGTTGTAATGTTTTTTTTTTTTTCTATTTTTTTTTTTTTTAATTTTTTGTAGCATTTCTAATGTTTTTTTTTCAGTAAAAGGTGCGTGTGGGTGTGTGGTGTGGGACAGCACATAGGAGGACAACTATTTGGTTTCTGGTAAGTAATTTTGATGGCAGATGAATAAAAGAACTTAAAAACAAAATAATAAAAACTCAAAAAAATTTACACAAATATAATAAACCTTATTCCTTTGGAGAGATTTGAAAATTTTCCACAAAATTGATGTCCATTTTAAATGAAAGAAACGAGAAGAAAATGAAAATAGAATCCAATCCATGGTTGTTTGGTTGTCTTTTTTTTCCTCTACTGCGTTGAATAACTTAAAAAATATATAACCAATACTCTCTTTCATTTTGCATAACAAGATGGTTTTGATATTTCCTCCTCGTTTGATGGGTCATTTTTGCAAAAAAAAAAGGGGGCACCCAATGCTTATCAATATTCATTTGTTGTCTAGAAATTTTATATATTCAACATCTTTTTTAATTTTTTTTATAAATTTTTTGTTTATCTTTAAATAAATTCAGTTTACACACGCACTCACGCTCACATTCACTTTCTTGTTTTTTTTTTTTAACACACAAATGTTTCAATATATCTGTCTGTAGTTTTTTCCTATCAATTTTGAGTTTGCAAAATAATATTTAAATTAAAATCGCCAATGAATTGACCTAAACGCTGTGCAACATTTTTTTTTTAATTTATAAAATCTTTGGCAGATGTGAAAACATATAGGGAATGTAATTACAAAATACACAATTTGTTATACCGTTTGTAATACTTTAGACATTTTTGCCAGATACCCCACAAATCACAGATATTTTTTAATCAGACCTCCGGAAACTAGGCTCAAATTCGAGTAAAGAGTGAAACTCGCTCGAATTTGAGTGGGAGCTCTCCTGGCAGTAGACAAACACTCGCAAACTACATTTCTCGGTTTCCCCTGAATAAGGGCGAGTGTGCTTTGCTCATAATAGAGTGGGAGCAATATTCATTCGAAAACGAGCAAATTCTAATCTTGCCGAGCACTTATTTAGTTATACCCTACACCACATAGTGGTAAGGGTATTATGTCTTTGTGCATTTGTTTGTAACATGGAGAAGGAAGCGAGATAGACCCATAGTTACTTTTGAGAATCTCCATAATATCACTTTCTGAGTTGATTTATGCATGTCAGTCCATCTGTCCGTCCGTCTGTCCATGTATTCTTGTGAACAAAATTCGATCGATTGAGATGAAATTTTCCAAACAACATTAGTTTGGCCCAAGGACAAACGCTATTGAAATTGGATATAATCGGTAAAATAAGTATGCCAAATTTGATCGAAATCGGTTCAGATATAGCCATAGCTCCCATATATATTGTTCATCCGATTTTTATTTTTTGTCCTCCACAGGCGTAATATACATTCTGTGACAACAATAATTAGGGAAATATATCAAATGCAGCCCAGAAATACCTTTGCTAAATTTTACCGATATCGGTTAGATTTGGATATAGCTCCCATATATAACGTCGTCCAATTTACTTTGATGATTTAAGCCACATTTTTTCACGGATTTGTCTGAAAATTGGCATTTGTAGGTCATAACGCGTCCCTGTGCGTGTGGCAAAACATTGCATGTATAGGTCCACGTTTTGGTATAGCCCCCATATAAAGCTACCTCCTGATATTTGGTATTTTAATTTTTTTTTTTGCCACATTTTGTCACGGATTTGTCTAACAATTGGTATTGATTGGTCGTAATAGGTTCCAGCTCCGGTGGAGAAACATTGCATGTATAGGTCCACGTTTTGATATAGACCCCATATAACGGTACCTCCCAATATTCAGTATTATGATGATTTTTGACACATTTTTTCAAGAATTTCTCTGAAAATTGGTAGTTGTAGATCATAATGGGTTGCAGTTCGTGTAGCGAGTCATTGTAATTACAGGTCCACGTTTTGGTATAGCCCCCATATAACGGTACCTCCCGATATTCGGTAATCTGATGATTTTTGCCACATTTTTTCACGGATTTGTCTGAAAATTGGTATTTGTAGGTCATAATGGGTTCTAGCTCCTTTGGCGAAACATTGCATGTGTAGGTCCAAGATTTGGTATAGCCCCCATATAACGGTACCTCCCGATATTTGGCATTTTAATGGTTTTCACCACATTTCTTCTAATGTTTCCTTTACCCTAAGGTGGAGGGTATTAAAAGTTTGGCCCGGCCGAACTTAATGTTTTTTTACTTGTTCAAAGTTCCCGATTATACAAAAATCGTTCACCCTGTAATTACCAACCCTGGAATCCCCGATTGCCTCCGAGCCATCGTAAAATTCCTGATCATCAACAGATCAACTTCCTTTCTTCCCAAGGAAGGAAGAAATCTACTCTTCTTATTTTATAAGGTTTAGGAGGTACTTATTGAGACACAGGTTTCAGGATGATGAAAAGCATATAAGACACGGGAATGATAAAAAGAGTAGAATCTGCTCGATTTCGAGCAAATTTTACACCCTTTTTTTCGACCCTGGTTTCAGGTTGAGGAAATGCATATAAGACAGGGTATGATAAAAAGAATATAATCTGCTTTCGTGTGAATTTTATTCCCAGTTTTTCGAAGACATTGACAAATGGAGAATACTCGATGTCCTTTTTTTACTCACTGGAGTACTCACGCTCGCATTCGAGTAGGGGATGACTATTTTCATAGCTATGAAAGCTACATATATTCTAATATTTCTGCTTAAAATTCGGTCCAACTTGAAGATCGTGTATGTTACTTTACTCTCCCTGGTATCTCTCCCAAAAAGAAATAGTCGCCAATTTCCGCAAAACTCTCAACAGATATTTCTATCAATGCTAAAACTAGCATGAAGATGGAACGTTTTGCCACACTCCTTCCGCTACCTCCCCAACCAAACATTAATATTTTGAAAATAATGAGAGTAAAATGGCTGATTTTCTCCGGAAGTCCAGGGTGAATTTTCCTTCACTGTTCACAGGTTCAGTATAAAGTTCCTCCCGAATTTATGTTTATTGAAGACTCTAGACCAAGACCGGGCAAATGCAGGTCCACTTGCTTTCAGCGGGAATAAATTTCTTCACAAACGCGATCATAGAAAATGCTGTGAAACAAGTGTGTAATACATTTGGGAGAACATACACGTGCGACCCTCTGTCCTGCCTAGTTGTAGACATAAAAGGTCCAAGGTAACCCCTCTCCTTATTTTTATACCCACCACTCTAGTTTAGAGGATATATTACTATACCTGGGAGTATGTGTATTCTTTATTGGCGTATAATTTTATATCGTTCATCTGTCTATCGGTTTGTCTATCTGATCCATCTGTGGAAATCAGGTTGAAAACACTTTGGGTAGATCTATTTTAGAACCGTAGAATTTTTGGTTATGAAAATGGGTTCACATGTCCACATTTGATATAGCCCCGATATAACGTCCCGTTCGATTTAAGTTTGATTTATGTGTTCTTTTCATAGTTTTCAACGGAATTTGCTGTAAATTGGCATTTAGTGTTTCTAATATGGTCCCTTGAAAAGATTCCAGGATTCAAGAAAATTGAATTATGAGAGCGATTCAATTTTATTTTCATATTGAATACCAATATTTTAATTCTTCAGCATCTATATTTGGAGCTCTTGGCCTTGGCTCATTGTCTTGCCAAGTTTTAACTGATATTTAGAGCTTCTTCTTCCTTCTGATTTTGATTATTTCCCTTTAGTATTATTAAATCGTCATCCCCTTAGCAGACGGGTTACCATCTCTTATTTCCTTCATATCACTGTTATTACGGTTGGTTTACATAAATTCATTAAAAATTATGGACATTTCTGACATTCTATTCCGGCTAGACTTATTTAAAATTCTCTATTTCGTGATGACAGAAATATATTGAAAATCGATTTAAATTTTGAGAATGGACTCAAAAAGGAGTATTAAATAATTTTAATTACATTGGAAAATAAATAATTTTAAGGCATTAAATTTTGATCATAAAAAAATCCGATTCCTAATTAGACCTTATTTGAACTCTAAATAACACAATTTGTTGCATAAAATTTTATTCCCAAGACTGGCATCCGCCAAAGATTTTATATGATGCCGCACAGTATTTTTCAAAAACAAAAAAAAATGTAAATACTTTTCAAAATTACACCCCATTTTATACACGGTTATGTTGCTTTTTTTGTTGTTGTTACTGTTGTTTGGCAATAAAATTTCAAACATTTATAAGAGATAAAAAATTATAGACAAACTGAAAGATCAAATTTGAAATAACCTTTGTTTTCCTTTTTGATTAGAAAAATATTTAAAGTTAAATAAAACAAAATAAAAAAATAAAAAAAAAAAACCAACTCAAAAAGAAAATAAAAATTGAAAAAAACCAAAAAAAAAATCGAAATAAAAAGAAACCAAAAAGATAATCATCATGAACATGTGTGTCATACCAGGTGTAGGGGGTGTGCTACCTCGAGATGGCTCCGCACCTGCTTGACCGCCTAAGTTCCCACTCGATGAGCCTTTAGGACCACCATACAATCTACCAGTGGGTCGGTTTTGATTCTAAATATATTTTAGAAAAAAGTACAAAATTAATGTATTTCAAGTCAAACAAAGTTAATGGCACAGAGTGTACACCGGCAAATATGTATCTTCGATGAAACCGTTTCTTGTTGTGTAAAAAGTTAAAAAATGTGTGTTTATTTATGTAATTTTTTCCTGCTGAACTGATTGGTTATCTGTTTTCATATTTGAATTTTTGGCATATGTATATATTTCCAAATTTTTTTACTCGAAAAGTTTGCTGATAAATAAGAATATTTTTTGGGATTTGCTAGAACTATTAAAATTTCTATTGTAATAGATTTTTAGTGTTAAGATGAAAAACTATACTGTGTGAATAATTTTTATGTTGCCATCTATCTATCTATATTTATGTATTATATATTTATAGATGGCAACATAAAAATTATTCACACAGTATAGTTTTTCATCTTACCACTAAAAATCTATTACAATTCCAACAATAAATGTAACTTTCACTACTATGACAAATGTAATAAAAGAATTATATTATGCAATAAAACATCCAATTTCCATTACCAAATAATGAGTTTTGTAGTCATAATTTTTTCAAGAGTGTGTCACCTGAAAAGATTTATGTAGTCGCCAAGTCTATACATCGACAAATAATAAAAAAAAAGTATGAGTTTAATTTTTAGAATACACTTTTTGTCGATATTGATATTAAACTCGCAACCTGATAGTTTGAATATAACACAGTACACACTGTGCGTCTGTTGTGAACATCATGGTTAGATTAAATGCTAACATGTACATGAAAAACTCATCTTATTGTATTATTTTTTTTTTCTTCGACGCCAAGTCTTGAGCTCTCAACTTTAGGCTCTAAAGTCAGAATTGGAAGTGTAAACAACCTATCTTCTGAATTCCGAGAAGGTTTCAAATATGAGATGGTTCCTTCAAAAATTACAAGACGAAAGGTCTTCTTCCCTCGTTACTAATGCCTGAGTAACGTCGGCATATAGTATAAGCGTCTGATTACAAAACACAGGGTTGTGAGTTGTAGACTTGAAGAAAAATATTAATAAAACACAACGAGTTTTCAACAAACAATTTTTAAAATACTTGGGTGGAACTTCACCAGATTTATGTTTTTTTTATACTATCCACATACCCAGTATTGAAGATAAATTAAGTTCGTCATTCCGTTTGTAACTCATCGAAATAATAATTTTAGACCCAACAAAGCATATATATTCTCGATCAGCGTAAAATTCTACGACGATTTAGTCCTGTATGTCTTTCCGTCTTTTGTAATCACGCTAGTGTTAAAACTAACCATATATATATATATATATATATATATAATATATATATATATATATATATATATATATATATATATATATATATATATATATATATTTATATATATATATATATATATATATATGTATATATATATATATATAATATTTATTTCCAAATTTCGAAATTTCTTCTAAGTGGTGGAGGGTATTAAAAGTTTTTTTTATACCCTACACCACAAGGTGGTCAGGGTATTATGTCTTTGTGTATTTGTTCGATTTATGCATGTCCGTCTGTCCATGTATTTTTGTAAACAAAGTACAGGTCGCATTTATTGCCCGATCCAGATGAAATTTTGCACAAAGCCGATGGTCGCTCTCCGCTCGTACTAATCGACCGTGGCAGCAGAATAAATCTCGAATATTATCGTGAAAATATTCTGGAGGGTGTTTAAAAGCCTTGGGCGCGCAAACATTTTGGCCGCAGACCTTGGACATTTCAACAGGACTCAGCACCATCGCCCTCAGCACGCGCCACCCAATGCCCACCAAAATCTTCGGATACCAATCTGTTGGACTATTGTGTCTGGAGAATTTTGAAAAGCAATGTTGACACTAAAAAATACCAAAGTGTCGATCACCTCAAGCAAGCGTTTCGCCGGGAATGGGTCAAAATACAGCAGAGAAACATTCGGGCAGCATGTGACAGTTCCAAAGGGCGTTTGAAGGCCATCATTTGTGCCAAAGGTGACCAATTCGAACAAATCTAAACTTATTCTAAAATATGATGCTATTTCCGACATTTTTTGCTTCATTCAATAAAAATTTAAAAAAAAAAATTCAAAATTATGGTGTTTGACTTTGTTGCACCCTGTACATTCAGTAGATCCGCATTGGATAGCAGATAATCGGTAGATCTTCCCTGAATAAAAATCTTTCATTGGGGGTCCCTCGATAGAATATCATAAATTGGTTGTCTGTGGATAAGGCCGCATCAAGTCATAGATTAAAGACCCTTTAACAGGTCTGCTAGATATATAATGCAATAAAACTGTTTCGATTGATTTCTTTCAAAAAACCTTCAAGCTTTTAAAAGAGAAACAAAATTCGCCCAAAAATAGACTGTGTATATACAACATAAACATTTAAAAGGTATTCTCTGGAGAGAAAATAAAAAGTGTTGTCTCATAGAAAAAATATAACAAAAAGTCTTTTCAACAGGACAAAAACAAAACCCTTATGGACAAAGCCCTTAAGATAGAAGACTTCCATTAGTTGTTCTATAGATAGAGGGATAAGATAAGATAGAGAAATAAGATCTGTCTTCTCTAAATGAAATATGTACAAGATTAAAGGTAGAATATAATTGTATATGTAAATACAACATCTATAGACAACATCAAGAAGACCTTCAAGAATTATTCTAATGAAAATTATATTAATTAATGAACGTCATTTCAATAAAGAGACAACTATTAAAACACATTCTCATGATAGAATATATCAACAGATCATCTGTGGACAGAACAAAGACTATCGACAGATCTTTCCTGGGTTTTAAAAATCAAAGTGTCTTCTTTGGGTAGAAAAAACTCCCAAGGACTCTTCTGCATAGCAGACCATCAAAATGTTTTTTATAGAAGACAATTGATAGGTCTTTTTCTTCCTACAGCCCTTCTACGGATTGAAAATATTAAATAGGTAATCTATAAATAGGAGATCATCAGATAATGGTCAGGGATCCTACAGATAGAAAACCTAGAAAGGATCTTATATCAACGGAGGTTCTACTTTTGAAAGACCTTCTAAAAGTTTTCTACGGATAGAAGTGTTTCAATGGGTGGTTTCACAATTAAGTACATTCAACGGGTCTTTTATAAGAAGGCTTTTATTAAGATTATCTTGTATAAAATACCTGTAACAGACATTGTCTAGACTTGGATATAACATGTGCACTTTAAACCCTAACCCTTAAACCGTTATAAGTTTGATTGGGCCAAAAAATTATGAAACACCTCGAAATATTGGTTTCCCATATAGGAAAATATATATGGATCTTCTGACTTATAATATTAAAGTATGCATTTTGTAATATTTTTTCACTTTAGAACACAAGTTGGGGTTATTATATACATATTGCAATTATCGTCCGATCCACACGAAAATCATTAGGGTAGGGTTAGGCTCAGAAGGGCTAGGCCTATTTTTTTAAAGACGCCCACAATATATTTAAATATAGAATGTATCGTAGACCAGCAAATCATATAGATAAGTCTAAATTTGGAAATACAGAAGGAGATGGTCGCAAAATGTTTAGGGGTTTAAATGAACCAGAAACAGAAAAAAAAGCTTGATCACACAATTGAGGCCAATCGACCCGCCTGAGAAGAGAGTTAAGGACAGGGAAGAATTCTAGCATTTTGGATGACAATTGGATTATATTTAGCTGTAAATGCTCAAAATGCTAAGGGTAACATCTGGGCAGTGCTCCGTGACATAATTTCAAAAGCAAAATCTTCCAAAATAGACTTGGATATAAGGGAGCTTCTAACATATTGTAGTGTCGGCATGGTCGGCCGCACGACTATAGCCTTTGTTTACTTGTTTTATATTTGTATTGGGCCTTTACAAGGTCTTCCATGGATTGAGTTAAAATTAAAAAGATCCAAGGGAACGAATATATATATTTTTTTTTGCGCTGATAATTCCAAAATGTCTTCTATTGGTAGGAGACTATTTTCAAAGTTCTCAGTTGGATAGAAGAGCTTCGTGAGGTCTTCTCAGTTTATTATTTGTAATGGATAGACAAACTGTACAGTTTCCTCTTTTTATTGGCGAGCTTCACAAATTGCCCATAAATAGAAACTTTCAACTCATCATCCACGTAGAACAGACCCTCCAAAAGTCTTCAGTGCATAGAAGACCTTCAAATAGTCTGACAACAGGTATTCTATCAATAAATGACCTTCATCACGTCTGCACGGAAGACGTTCAATGGATCTTCTCTGGGTTGTAGAAGTTAATTAGGCTTCCTTTGTATAGAAGAACCTCAATTAGTTTTCTTTTCACAGAAGAGTATTAATGAGATATCTATGCTTAGAAGACCTTAGAAAAGTCTTCACTGAAGAGGAAATCGTTGAAATGTTCTTTGGTTAGGAAACTATCAAGAGTTTTGTTTTTCTTTTTTTGGATGGAGGAATTTCTAGATATAAATAGAAGACACTTCAGAGGTATAATACCAAGTGAAGACTTTAAATATGACTTAGATTTTTTTTGGATCTTCTATGGATCGAAAAATCGATCGACCTTTTAAAAGTCTTATATTGATAAAAGAAATTTTCAAAGGATATTCTTTAGATAAAGACCTCATTAGGTTCTAATAATGGAAGATATTCAATACATCATAATACATGACATTTTTCAGGTCATCTTGATGAAAGTTCCCTATACATTGAGGACCTGCAATTGATCTTCTATGCACAGAAAAAATTTAACATATCATTTGGAAGTAGACTACATCAAAAGGTATTCAGTACATGGATTTACTTTAACATTCCAATACATTTCAAATTTCAAGAGCTCTTTACATATAGAAGACCATAAATATAGTTGCCATAAATAGAAAACCTTCGAAGAAATCTATAAATATAGATCAGGAAAACTTTACTAGGTCTTCCTTGAACAGGACGCTGGACCTTAAACAGTTTTTTTATCCTTTTTGGACATTAGATATTGTTAATGCCCATACCAGAGGAGAAGGAAAAATATTACCATGAAATTAATTAGGTTAATTTTCCGAGTGCGACCAAACCTTCTCCCTCTGAGACCAATTTAGACCCACCCCAATGGATTTCAACGAGGACAACAATGTGGAGTTAAGCGACTTGTAGCTCTAAGGATCGTCTTCGAAAAGAACTCATTTCAATATTAAATATTTCTTATGTAATAAGATCCGCTTGATCACGTTTTTCTTTTTTGCCACATATACGAAACCCCACAAATGATCTTCCAATGGGTCTTTTTTATTGGTTCTAAATAATGTTGTATTTCAGTTTCTGTCATAATAAAACATATGTTTCGTCATTTGCGGAATTCTATACATGGGTTGTCAAGCCGTAACCCACGTTGGGCGCCACTTGTACAGAATCCCATAAATAACTGTGATCTGTTTTATTGGTTATATATTAAATCGTACTAAAACATGTGCTTCTTCATTTGTGGGTTATGTGTCCCCGTTGGGCGCCTCAGCTACTGAATCCTATTACTAATGCTAAATGGTTGGTTTAATTAGTTTTAAATTACGTCGTAATAAAACATATACTTTGTCATTTGCGGGATTGTCGCGTCACTCGTTGGGCTCTACACATACAGAATACCAAAAATTTGTTTGTTTTGATTTGTTTCCACGGGTCTAAATTATGTCGATGTTTCATCATTTGCGTTATTCAAACCATGTCCGACGTTGAGCGCCACTTGTACCATTACCATAAATGATATGGGATCTGTTTTATTGGTTATAAATTAAGACATATTAAAGCAAATGTTCCTTCATTTGTTGGATTCTGAGTTCCACGTTGGGCGCCACATGTACATAATACTAAAAATAACGAAGGATCTCTTTATTTTTGTTTTAAATAACGACGTATTAAAATATATCCTTCGTCATTTGTGCGACTCAGTATGTGGTGCTTCAAGCCGTGCATAACGTTGTGCGTCGAATGTACAGAATACCACAAAAGACATAGGGTTTGTTTTATTAGTTCTGAACTACGTCGTAATAAAGCAGATATTTCGTCATTTGCGGGATTCTGTGTCACACGTTCGACGCCACTTGAACAGAATCCCACTAATGACGATGGATATATTTTTATTGGTTCTTCTTTTGTGGGATTCTGTGTTCCACATTGGGCGCCACATTTACAGAATACCAATAATAACGAAGGGTTTGTTTAATTGATTCTAAATTACGGCGTAGTAAAATGGATTCTTCGTCTTTTGTGGGACTGAGTATGTGATCCTTCAAGCCGTGCCCCACGTTTGGCATCACATGTAGAAAGTCTCACAAATGGCGGAGATCTTTTTTTATAAGTTTTAAAGTACGTCGTAATAAAATAGATATTTCGTCTTTTGTTGGATTTTGTGTCCCACGTTGGGCGCCACATATTCCGGGGTCTGATACTTCATTATTTTTGAAACACAGGGCTTCAAGGGGTACCGCACGTTGGGCACCACTTGTGCAGAGTCCCATAAATGACAAGGGATCTGATTTATTGGTAATAAATTACGAAAAACTACATTCCATAAGAAGTCTTTAACATTGAGATGAGTTTTTGTAGATGACAACTCCTAGAGGTCCAAGTCTATTTACTCCACATCATTCCCCAGGGCGGTATCTATTGGTGTTGATCGCATAGTCTCGAAGCGGGAAGGTTTGATCGAACCTCGACACCAGAGCTTACAAATATGTAGGTACTTACAAATATGTTGTCATTCATTATTTTAGTTTGCATCTGGAACAATTAAAACTCTACATATCTCTGAAACTTAGCTCTAAACGAATATACCATAATCAAGTTCTGGCATGGCTAAAGCCACACACCATTTTAGATTTGTTGAAAAAATTAGAAAATCTTACAATACATATATTGTTTCTAATCAACTACGGGAATATATTTTTGTATATTGGGTATTTTTCAAGCGTAAAGTTAAAGCGTTTTAGGATAACTGAGGTAAGAGCTGGCGCACTAATTAAGTCTTGGTGACTTACTATCAAAAGCGTATTTGAAATCAACGTTCGGGTATTGCGATTATATTAGGGTCCAGTTCGCACGGAAACTTTTTCGAGTATTTATGCGTACAAAAGAAGCCATCATGCCATACAGCTGGTGAAACCATCACTTTCGTTGATCCCAAATGTTCGACGAACGAACTGTATTGCGAATCGGAGGGTTGTAGGTTGTTCCTTTTGTTGTGTGATGCTGTATATTCAATTTAGTATCTTTCCATATATCCAAAATATCCAATATATTATCGATGAAAAAAATATCAGTTCTGTAAATCCAGTGTTTAATCTCCAATAAACTACAGAACAGGTGTGTTAAGGATGACACAATTATTATTTTTTTTTTAAATTTCAATTTTAACCCAAGTAATGGATAGATTGATGTTGATTCTATTCATAAATCGATCAATACAATAAAATAAAAAAAAATATACTTCATATCATTCGTAGCCTTGGAAAACCTAACCTCACCAAAATACCAATTTTTAAAATCGATCGGTTTAAACCCTTACTACCATGAATACCAATACTAAAATTCGATTGGTTCAAAACATCAAGAACCTGACTATTACATGCTAAATTATTTATGATATGTGATTCCTACATTCCCTAATGTATTCTTCTTATATTCATCAGCAAACTTTTCGAGGATGGTGCCAAAAATTATTCAAACTTTCTTTTTTCCGTAGTTTAAAAACTTCGTTCACACCATTCAATTCAACAGGTCGAAATTTTGCAGGTAGGTTAGTTTCACCGAAGATACATCGGTTTATCGAATAAAAAAAATTGAGTGTGCAAGATGCGAATGCATTGCACACACACACACACCCAGTGTCATTAACCTACCTGCAAACGTATATGGTCTAGCTTAACGGGGCTGGGTATGAATCCCACATCACAGCCTTCTTTGACCAGGCGACCAATCCACCAGTTATGATCATATTTTTCTTTGATGTGTAGAAATTCCCTAACGTCAAAGGAAACAGCACCACCCTGTACGGGTGAATCGTCATCGATGCTGGCATCATAGGCAACATTTGTTCGCACAGCGAACGCAACAGGTTTACTCTAGATTTATCAGATACATAATAGTAATGGGATTGAGATAAGGATAAAGAGATTATGGAGAGGTTATCAAGCGTATTACAATGCCATACTAGCGACTAATGTTACAAAACATACTCTAGCTTTATCCAACTGGCTTTTGGCCTGACTTTCCTTAGCTCGCCGAAGCGATTCCTTTTCCTCGTCTAGCGACAGATCGGATGACGGTTGTGAGTAATTGGAGTCGGCAGAACCCTGAAAAGAAAAACACAGAGGGAGAATTTTAATTATGGTACATTTCTATTTTTATGGTGTAAAAATAGGTATACGATACATTAAATGTGATGAGGGGTAAATATCCGATATTTAGCTTCTATCAAAGAGTATTTGTATCATTTTAAAATTATTTGGTCAAAATTTAGGGACTAAGCCACTTAGAATATTATATAATGTTCAACATGTTCACCTATCGTTAGCGATAGTTGGCAGATAAGGTGTGACTTTTGGAAATTCGGTCAAAAAATACTAAAAACCATGGCTTTGGGTTAAATCTTCAAATTTAGGTCGGTCTTAATACGAGGCAGTGGAAAAGAAGACTAGTACTAAATAAATGTTTTTTTTTTTTTTTTGTTTTTAAGTTAAAACAAGTAAGCAAAAGGCTATAGTCGTGCGGGGCCGACCATGTGATACCCTACAACAATACAATAAGTTAGAAACCCCCTTATGTCCATTCCATCCATTTTGGAAGATTCCGCTTTTAGAATTATGTCATAGAGCACTGCCCAGATATTACGCTTTGCATTTTGACCAGGGACATTTGCCCAATATTTACGCACTCCGTCGTGCTGTTGGTTGTAGTGGTCCATTTTACAGCTTAATATAATCCAATGGTCATCCAAGATGCTAGAATTCTTCCCTGTCCTTAACTTTATTCGCAGGCGTGTTGATTGGCTTCAATTGTGTGATCAGGAATTTTTTTGTGTTCTTGGTTCATTTGAACCTCTAAATATTTTGCGATCATCTCCAAAAGCAAGTGGCCCCTCTGTGTTTCCAAATTTAGACTAATATATATGATTTGCTTGGCTATGATATTTGGCTATATTAGTTAACGAAATCAGCATATTTGTGTATTTCGGATATCATCTGTAAGTAATGTTGGTTTTTTTCACACAAAAGTAGTGGTCCATTCTACCCGCTCTCCTAAACTCTAAGTTCATGCGAGACTTCGTGTTCTTTAGTTTCTATTTGTATCTTTATAACGGCCGCAAAATCAGGGACATTTTTATTTGTTGGTCCATTTCAGCCACTAAATATATTGCCGACATCTTTGAAAACAATAGGCCTAGCCCTTCTGAGCTTAACCCTACCCTTGTGAGGATCGGACGATAATTTCAATCTGAATATAATAATCCCAACCTGTGTTGTAAACTGAAAACATATTACAAAATATACCCCTCAATATAATAAGTCGAATTAAAAAAATTGCATGCGATAAAAATATGAAAAAAATAAAAAATGTCATAAAATACTACCAAATCTATATTAACATCACAACTGGCATCTTTCTATGCGATTTTTTTAGAATTTATGCTTTTGTGCCAAGAGGGCATTCTGAATTGACAAAACTTGTCAAAATCGGTCCGGCCATTCTTGAGATATAAACATTCTAGCTAACATCCCCTTCCTTTATATATATTTCGCTATATATATCCGATATATTTACTATTAGCATCGGTACCGGTCAGAATTGACCTTTTCGTCTCTTTGCGATTTCGCCGGGATTCAAAATATTCGCGGTTTAATGGAAAATTTGATTTTTATTTAGCACAAATGTTGTGGCCTATTTCACCCACTAAATATTATCCGATGACCATCAAAATTGGAAGACTTCTGCCCAGCCCTAAACTCTAGCCCTATACTAACTTCCGTTTCGATTGGTCTATAATTGCGACCTGTAGAGCAGCTACAAAATCAAGAAATTTTTCAGTTTTTGGTCCATTTCAACCCCTAAATATTATGCGATCATCTCCAAAAGAAATAGGGTTCATTCTAAATTTCGTGAAGATCGGGCCATAATTGCGACCTGTAGAGTGATTACAAATTAACATGGACAGACGGAAGGATATACATAGATAGATAAACTCAGCTCGGCAAGATAGGAAGATCCATATATACTTTCCTATGTGGGAAACCAATATTTCGAGGTGTTACATAATTTTTGGCCCAATCAAACTTATAATACCCCCAACACATAGTGTGAATAAGGCAGCTAAAATCATCACAATACCGAATATCGGGAGGTACTGTTGTATGGGGGCTATACCAAAACGTGGACCAATACCAAGAGTCCTGCAGACATAATGTATATTTGAGTAAAATTTTATCAATCTACTTCATTTCGTTCGGAAGCTAGAGTGATTTCTACAGACGGGCAGACGGACTTTGCTAAATCGACATAGAATTTTATGCTGGCCAAGAATATATACACATTGTGAGGTCTAAAATGTATATTTCGAGGTGTTACAAACGGAATGACAAACTTCACATACCCATCATACTATGGTGAAGGGTATACAAGTGTAGTCCTTTTAATTGGAAAGTGTGACTAGAATTTAGATTTATCTATTTATCTATTTTGAGAGTTTTTTGCAGAAAGATGCGAATACGCCATTCAAATCACCCAAAATCGGCCAATAATGTTAAATAATGGATATTTATTGAAAATGTTTGCGACAAAAATTTTGGCGGAAACGTCGAAAATGGCGAATGTTATATATACCAAAATGGATATCGATACTTTTATTACCATTCGCCATTTTGAAGGATCTTGAAAATTTCCAAAAAAAAAAATCCATCGAAAAATACCTTTTGAATGAAAGCTGTTATATGAGGGCTATGCAAAGACGTGGACCTGCCCAAGTAATTTATGTCATAAGCTGTAATATCGATCCCGAACTAAAAATACGACATTTAAAACAATTCAGTTCACAAAAAAATGTCGCTAAAATCATCAGAATGCCGAGGGGAAATAATAAGGGTATCCTTGTGTGTATTTTAATTTATAGGGAGCCTATACGATATCGTGGTCCGATAGAGCCTATCTTTGAACTTAACCTGTCTACAGACAAAAGATTGTTACAACCGGCAGACGGGCAGGGCTAAATCGTCTTAGAATTCCACGCTGATCAAGAAAACATATATACTTTGTTAAGTCTAAAATTATTTTTTCCATGAGTTACAAGCGGAATGACGAACTTAATAACGCTCCACACTATGTATAATAGAGAATATAAAAATAGAAGAGGAGAGGTTTAGCCCTCATAATCTACTTTATTTTTGGCTTTTTATTTGCACGGAGTTATTCCAGTTTTTGCAGTCAATTATATACCAATTCGAAAAATTCCATTTTTTTAGAATTACAGCAATGATAAACTATTTTCCAAAAATTCTAATAAAAAATGTTCAATCACTGAAAGCATTTTAGAACATTTCAGTGGTCCTTTGATACATGTTTCATACACCCTATCATTTTCGAATTCTTCACAACATTGATGCACCCTTCGCCACATGTTAGAATTCTAGTTCTATTTCTTCGAATGTAATGCATTTTCTTACATTTTTACCAGAAAAATAAAACTAATAAAAACCCTAAATCCACTGATAATTTCTTTAGTTTTTTAATTGTTTTTTTTTTTTTTAATAGCTTACCAATGTATACCTCTCAACATCCCATTGTGCAGAAAACATTCCATAAACAATCACTCCATATTCTCATTGTAAACAATTTAAACAAAAATTAATAAAATCACTCGAAGTAAGAGCAACACAAAAAAAAAAAAATTGGCAAGTGACCAAATTGATTATTTCATTTGGAAATTAAAGTGAAATACGATTCGTTGAAGAATGCTGGTGGTGAATGGTTCATTACGATTTAAACACTTTTTTGTTTCCATAAACGAAAATTTTAATTGGCAAACAAATTAAATAAATATGTTGCCCCGTGTTGGAATGAGAAGTCTTTGTTTTGGTGAAAAGTACAGCTAAGGGTCAATTCAGAATAATTGCAGTGGATAGCTTGGAAATTCAAAAAAATTGCAGATTAATGAACTCAAAATAAAATGATTTTAGCTCGTACAAAAAGGAACTAAAAGCACTAAAAACCTGTACTACAATGTTCTAAAAGGCGTAGAAATATTTCATAGAATTTTGATATTTTATATATTTCAACAAATAAAGAAAAAAATCGGGCGGACGACTATATGATACCCTACACAACCATGCATATTTGTAGAGCTCTCGTAATGAAATAATTTATTTGAAGTCGATCATACCATCTATCTTTTGCCCTTTGACTTTAGAGCAGTTATAATTTGGTTTCAGAGGGAGGGGGGCATATCCAATGCTAAATCGATTCTCACCAAATTTGACGGAGCCATTTTTATCTTTTATCCCAAATAACATGGCTATACAGGGTGAGATGAAAAAACTGCAATCAACTTCAAACTGCTGCCACTTCTAAGCCACTCGTCCGACAGCTGTTAAAATTATTCCATTGACAGCTCATTATATTGTTTACAAGCGTACAAAAGCATTTTGGTGAGAATTATCCAGAAAACGAGTTATTCGTGATGGAGTTCAAGCGTGATAGTGTGATTTCTTAACATTTGGCTGGAAAACCGCAAGTGGCTATCGTCAGAGGACTCTAGCATTTAAATATCGGCAGAATTGGTTCGAAAAGTAAAGAAGAGACTTGATCGATAAATGGCCGAAAAATGGCTCATGAGCTAAACATATCGCAATATTCTATTCGACAAATATTGAAAAATGAGTTTAGGGTAAAGCCAATGAAATTTCAAAAAGTGCAAGAACTTACACCGCAATTGAAAGAAAATAGACTTAAAAGAGCTAAAGAGTTGCTTCGCTGGGCCGAAAGTGGTGAGCTGCCGAATTTGGTTTTCTTCGATGAAAAAACATTCGTTGTTCAGCAGTTTGTAAACAAACAAAATGATCGTGTTTGCTTGCCAAAGAGATCAACTGAAAATGTGCATCTTCGGTTACCCACCAGAACTCAAGCACCTGTCATGGTGATGGTGTGGGCCGCCATAACAGCCGATGGTCGGTCTTCGCTCGTATTAATCGACCGTGGCATTAGAATAAATGTCGAATAGTGTCGCGAAAAGATTCTGGAGGGTGTATTAAAGTCTGGGGCACGCAAACATTTTGGCCGCAGACCTTGGATATTGCAACAGGACTCA